TTAATTTAAATTTAAATTTTAATTTATTAACAACAACACATCACAATAATGACAGTACATATGAACAATCATACAATGCAAAAAAAAATAAAAAAATACTGATACATGTATACATGACATAAGAGTAATGTCGATTGAACAGTAATGGTTTTAAAACGATATTTTTTAGACATACATCTGCATACTATTAAATGTACAAAAGATATATACGTAAATATGTATATTACTATGTTTAGGTGATGTTGTTAATGGGAACTAGAAGTTAGCACAAGTGCTAGTCGAGCCTAGTTCCATTCTTTGGCAAGATTTTTTTCTGTTAATTTGTTTTTACATATGAATGTAAAACTTGTTTGTTTTGTATTTACATATGAATGTAAAACTTGTTTGTTTTGTATTTACATATATACAACAAAATAATACAATATCATGTAACTTTTTTTCTTTACTAAAATGAAAAAATGAAAATGAAAAAGCTTAAGCGTTAAAGCATTATAATGAAAGAAGACAAATCTTTGAAGAAATAAGATCATCAATGTGTTCATAAGAAATGAAAAGGATGTATTAATAAAAATAATCATACACATGTATGTACATGCACAAATCCTGTAAAAGCTCAAGGCCGCTATAATCGTTAACAAGGAAGTGTATACATATAGAAAAGGAAGACAAGTAATATAAAAGGAAAAAAACGAAGGGGGATGGGATTGAGCCCACGTCATTTACATAGAAGGTAGGTGGAAAGATGTCTCCGAAAAGATAACCTTGATGTTTTTAATCTAATTTCATCTGGCAGATCATTCCACAGCTTTGTTCCTACAAACGAAATACAAAATTGCCCTTGCGTTGTTTTACATTTTGGTTGATAAAGTAGGCCACTTTCTTTTCTCCTAGTTGCATATCTGTGCTGTATCATCTGACAATAATCCACTAAAGAGTGTGGTAAAAAAACCTTTTACCAAATCGTACATAAATGTTGATACAAGAAGTTCATGAAGTTGAAAATATTTAAAATGTTTAGACTTTGAAAAAGGGCTTTGGAGTCTGTTTTAAGTGGACTGAATGTAATTGCTCTCATTGCCATTTTTTGACTTAAATATATACAATTTAGATTACTTTTGTAAGTGCTCCCCCATACTTCTACTCCATAAGAGAGGTGAGGCTGTATAAAAGCCTTATATAATAACACAAGTATATTCTTGGGAACAAAATGTCTCAGTTTAAACAGAATACCTACTTTCTTTCTTATGCATTTGTTTATTGTCTGAATATGTTCTTTCCATGAAAGGTGACAATCAATTTCAATTCCTAAAATGATGCAACCATGAACCTATGCAACAGATACATCTTTAATATCTGATCTTGATATTCTCACAGATCCCTTTTTGTCTATTGATCTACCTTTGGATTTCATAATCATATAGTTTGTTTTCTGTAGGTTAATTGTGACTGCACCTTCATTAAATTTTCACTTACAATTTCTAAATCAATTTCTTTTTGTCTAGGATTAAAAGTATGAAAAAGATTTGAGTCATCAGCAAATAATCTGAAATTGGAAGAAGTTTGTGGAGTTAGGTAAGTCATTAATATATAGTAAAAATAATGTTGGTCCAAGAACGGAGCCTTGAGGGACACCACATGTTATATTCAATTTCAAAGACATTTTGTCTTTATATTGTATAAACTGTGATCGTTTACACAAATAATCTTCAAACCATTGCAAAGCTAACCCACGTATTCCATAGTGTGACATTTTTTTGAGGAGAATGCTGTGGTTTATAGTATCAAATGCCATTTGAAAGTCAATAAAGATGCCAACTGTTGTTTTACCCTCATCAAAGTATTTCAATAGTGTATTTGCAAGATTAATCAAAGATAACTTAGTGCTATGTTTCTTACGGAAACCATACTGGTGTTGAAACAAGATATTGGACATTCATTTTTTTTTTTTTTTACAGATGTCACTGTTTATGTTTCGTCTTTACGGCCAGTAAACTCCTGCTCTAGCTGCCCTTTTTAAAGAAAAACAAAGACGTACAATCTTATCCAACAAGACAGTCAAATCAATTTTACCCATCCAATCCCAAAACCACTACGGCACATAAATTAATTAGGCATAGTGGCCCGCACAAATGGAATGCACCGCCTTTGGATCAGGTTAATATTCATCCAGGGATTGCATTCAAAGCAGCAGTAAAAAGAATGCTGCTCTCCCAATATATTGATTAATCGTCTAATCGTCTTCTTTTTTAACACTTATATGTTCAATCATCTGTAACTCAATATTGATATAATCATCATTACTATTATTACCATTATTATCACCATCTTCATCATCATTACTACAATTAGCATGTTTTGAATAAATTATATGACATAAAAGACCCAATCCACCTTTACAGGTCATATTTAACTGTTTACCTAGGAAAACCATGTTAAAGGGACTCGGTAACATTGTTGAAGGTTGAGGAAAAACTTGCTTAATTTTTGTATAAAATGTTACTTATTATATTCCATCTACTGTACTAACCCGCTGACATGCAAACAATCCTGAACAAAATCTCAAACCACAAAGATATCTATGGTTTTCTTTGAAGGCGTCACTGTGAAACACGCTCTAACACTGATTGACAGTAAATTCTCCTAACCGTTTTTGAAGTTTCCCAACCATTTTTCCATGAAAAAAGAGACACAAAACAGGCTCTAATAATCTTTCAACACTTACATGTCTGGAATGGTATGTAGAGCCAATGTATTGCTTTGTGACGATTTAAAACGATGTAAAACTGGGCAAAATACGTTTAGAAGAGATAAGGGGCACTTGTCCTACGTAAAAAACGGGGCACGTTTGGGGTACTCAAGAGCCCCCCCCCCCCCCCCACCCCCCAGAGCGCCGCTTCTTTCCATATGTGAAACTCCAACCCATATCATTTCCTCAACTTCAAGTGCGGCTGTTTGTGCAAACAAATCTTCATGTTGCCGCCGAGTAAAGCTAATTTATACTACCCAGCAACTACGAGGCGCCAGTAACATTTTCGAGCGAGAAGAATCGGATAAAAAATGTTTAATATTAGTGATTATTGAACAAGCATTTTGCCAGCGTTTGATTAATAAAATAAATTAATAAAAAGAAAAAATTCAACACCTATGATATTTGTCATTATTACATTTGAAAAAAATAAGAAAACATGCAGCAAAAATTAGTTGGCAAAAAATGGTAGTATGGTCTTTGGTTTTTAGTGTAAACCAGTCTACGGCGTTTTGTTTGCCCTCGGCAAATGTTCGATTTGAAATACGAGCTGAAATTTTGACATGTGTTTGCAAGGAAGCGATAAGACATTTTGAAACGAAGAAGAAAAAAACGCTATGGTATCATTCTGTATGTTACATATTAACATGACACAACAGTCTGAAATGAAATACAAATATTTTTTGATGGTATATGTTTTCCGGCAGAGTCGAGTAAATCATATTGCACCGACTTGTTTCGTGCCTGCAAATGCTTCCAACAACTTACATTTACATAAACAATGTAGTTGGTTACATTAATATTCGGGCAAAGTAACATTTTATCTGAACGCTAAATCGAAGCAAAGTATCGACATGCCAGTCGTCTATGCACTCTGATTTCGAGCCATTGCCTAGATTTTTTTCTCCTTAAGGATCTCTTGCTGAGTTTTTCCGCCATTTCTCTATACAACCAGCCTGCGTTAGTAAAATATTATTGTCTACGTATTCTTTAAATTAAATTTAGCTATGAGTCTCTTGTTCATTATTGAATCAATACATGGGAGATTCACGACAGTGTTGATTCTGTAATCAGAAGGAGGAAAGCGAGACTCTCTACATCCATTTGGAATATCAAGTATGCAGCGTTTGATATGCACCATGTCAGGTTAACGTCACCATAGGTTGACACTCTCACCGGAATACAATATTGGCGTAAAGAAATCATCGTGACAGCGTACCATTTTGCAAGACATGATAATCTATCCTAGATTTCTTTTTGAGAAGTACTTCATGCCATTTGATAAATGAGCCCTGCGAGGATGGTTCTCTGTGTAACTAGGGAATACTTTTTGGCATACTTCACCAACATTGAGCTAATGTTGAACTTTCACTAGGAAGTTTGTACTTTTCCTAAAAATCTCAATGTAATATGAGATCAGATTTATATTTCAGTTTTGTCGTCATTACCGTGATTTCAAGCTACCTGTTCAAGAGGGCGGCACTTCATTATTGATTGTTGCTCAGTTTTGCAGGCCGTATTATCGACGGTAGTGAAAAGACACGTTTTTCCCTGCCTGCATAAATCGATGCTCATTTTTTGTCTATGCTGTCTGGGGCTCAACGGGCGACCCTTCTGTGCTTTGACAAAACGGACAACGCCCAAACATTGACCCGTTGAGCGCATCGGTGTTGCAACACGAATCTTCCCGCATTATCGGGTCTGTAATGTCAAGTAATGTTATATAGATTTCGCAATCTACGAGAAGAAATAATGAACTAATTTGTTTAAGCTCGAGGAGTCCATGTGCATCCCGTCTCACGTGTCCGGAAACATCCGTCACATTGAATTGATTTCTCGTTAGGTTAAAAGCAGCTGAACAAGAGGTTCATTAGTAAGACAAAGAACGTGTACTCGAAAATGACTTTGATTACCAATACACTGTTAAAAAAATAAAGACGTCCATATCCTTGGACAAGATGGTTTGGCGTAGACGGGAAGCTAATTTTTAGGATCGCTCAATAGTTTGGTGCCATCACTTCTGAACCTAACTTGTTTGAAAACTGCGGATTGAGCACATACCTCATCTAATCAACACGGATGTACCAGTTTACAGACTTCAAAAGATTTTGGATGAAAGGTTTCGAACCGAGGACACGGCGGCTCATTAGAAATACCAGACAACTATATCACTGAATATATAAAATCATATTTTATAAAATATTTTGTTGGATTATGAGATGATGGAGTCAATGATTGAAAGTAAAATGTGAGAAATTATGGATTAAATTCAATGCTCAAATATTATTGTAGTTAAATGACTCCACGTCGAATCTTCAACCTGGCTTTCAAATAATCACAGGGCAATGGATAGCGCGGACATTCATCCTGCGTGGAATGCATCAGAAGAAAGCTCTAAAACAGAGAACGATTTCTTGGACGTGGATGACAGGTCTGCAGCAGAAGATCTACGAGAAGAATAATGATCTACTTTGATTAAGCTCGAGGAGTCCATGTGAATCTCGTCTCACGTGCCCGGATACAAACGTCACATTAACTTAATTTTTCGTAACGTTAGATTCAGGTGAACAAGAGTTTCATTAGGGAGACAAAGAACGTGTAATGAAGGGCACAGGTGGTTATGTATGATTGCCGATACACTGTTAAAACAAATAAAGACGATGAAAGATTGTTATCTAACTTATGAACAGTCGTCGGATACATGTCCTCATGCAAGTTGGTTCGGCGTAGACGGGAAGCTGATTTTTAGGATCACTCGATAGTTTGGTGCCATCACCTCTGGAACTGACTTGTTTGAAAACTGCGGACAGAACACAAACCTCATTTAATCGACACTAATGTACGAGTTTACAGACTTCGAAAGATTTCGGATGGAAGGTTAATTGGGTTCTACTCCGTGTTATGTACCTCAGCTTATATTTACAGCGATGAGATTTGATTGTTTACGTCAGGCATCGATCATCTTCGTTAAACAATCTTGATCGGGTTCGAACCGAGGATTTGTCGGCTCATTAGAAATGACAGAGATCTAATCACTCACATATGAACATAGATTTTTGTTGGATTCTAAGATGATGGCGTCAATACTAATAAAATGGTGCTTATAAAGTGCTTTCCATCGAAGTCTTTAAACGCTATGATTACATGATTTAGATAAAAACCGTGAGAACTTATGGATTGATTTCAAAGCTCAAATATTATTGTAGTTGAGTGACTCCAAGTCGAATCTTGAACCTGGCTTTCAAATAATCAAAGGGAAATGGAGAGCGCGGACATTCATCCTGCGTGGAATGCATCAGAAGAAAGCTCTAAAACAGAGAACGATTTCTTGGACGTGGATGACAGATCTGCAACAGAGGTGATACTGTCAATATTTACAATGGGCTTAATCATAGTTCTTAGCATATCTGGGAACATTTTTGTGTTGGCGGCAATTGTTCGGGAACGCGTTCTTCATAGCAAGACTTCTATCTTCATTGCAAGCTTAGCCATTGCAGATCTAATTAACGCCAGTCTGAACATGCCTACTATATTAGTAAGTTGTATATATGACAAGTGGATATTTGGTGAAATTATTTGTGCCGCTATCGGTGTTTCGGTCGTTACAGCATGCACGGCAAGTATCAACACATTGGGAGCAATAGCAATTGATCGTTATTTCGCCATCGTGTACCCATTTAAATATTCGGAGCGCATGTCGGCCTGTCGCGTTGCCGCCATTTTGGTCTGGATTTGGACACAGTCTGTATTATTCGGTCTCATGCCTGCGTTCGGTGTGTCGGAGTTCGTTTACATTGAATCGGAATATCTCTGCTCCGCTGACTGGTCTACCCATTTGTCCTATACGATCATCATCGTCCTGGTGAACATGGGAGCCCCAATAATACTGATGACCTACTCCTACAGACACATATTTCGGATTGCGTCCGCGCATCGCAAGCAGATGAGGACACGGCATAATTTAAACGAGTCTGGCGCGGATGTCCCAACGGGCAGGAATCGCACAACCGTCATAGCTTTCACAAAGAGAGCAAAACAATTGCGACAGGACACCAAAGCTGCTACAACTCTCTTGATAGTCATGGGTACGTTTCTAATCTGTTGGCTACCACATACGATCACGATGCTATGCTTCGCCTTCCCATCCTGCACCGCTATTCCTGAGGGCTTCTACGTCGTGTCCACCTGGTTTGCCATGTTAAATTCTGCCTGCAATCCTTTTATTTACTGCATAACGAACAAACAGTTTCGACAGGCTTTCAAACGTACCTTCGCTCAAATGTTGCCGGCATCTTGGAAGAGGAGAATGGATCGACGCGTAAACCCAGATCCGACATTAGGGACAACAGCGACAGTTAAAGCTCCGAATTCAAACATCTCTATTTATTCACATGATCTTAGTCACACGGATGACAATATTCATTCTCATACACCAACAATTATTGCAGACTGTTTATAGACCAATTTACAAATGATTAGTCAGAATGGGCAGATAACGGTCGCTTGAGAGTAAGTTTGGCAGTTGAACAGGATTGTATTACTCGGGTCATTCAAAATGATATTTAGAAAACAGATCGTTATGTTCTGCTAAAACAAATGACAACCGTGTGATTTGAACTTAAAGAAGGAAATAGTATTGTCCATTGATACAACTATGAAATTCTTATGCAAGTTGCACAAGAGGTGTCATTCTGATTGCGTTATCATACTTGCGATAGTCGAGCCTTTGAACAAATTCTGTAAACGATTAAGGTGCCTGATGGTGCTCTTCTTACTGCAGTAAACTAGCATGAATCGCCTCGAAGCTTAACTATAAAATTGAGTTCTGGTCATTTTGCGTTGTAAAATCAATTGTGTGGAATCGAATTAAAAAGGATGATCATTTTCAGTAGCAGATAAGTAGTGGTGTATACTGTGAAGTTTTGATAAGAAGTTGGCCCAGTCTTACTAAAAGTCTTAATCACAGTACACAGAAATGTATATATAGGACTACACAAACATATGGCATGAATTAAGTGTGGTCCACAACCTTTAGCTGTTACTTGTCATAATTTGAATATGAGGGCATTTAAAGAGCCGTTATTTTTCAGGGGACACCTTTTCGGAATGACAAAAGCTTTCAAGTTATGTTTTAATATTTCCAGAACTCAATCTTCTTATTTAAGGATGAGATAGTAGGCTTCGTATGGAAGAAAATAGAGGGGGCTCGGGGGCTCGACTACCCCCCCCCCCCCGCAACCCCCAAATATTACCAAATGTACTCGCGTCTATGTTTGACATCCAGGCTGATGGGCACTTCACTCATCATGAGGAGCCCTACACCTTGTAAATGTGATAGAAAACGTCAATTTTATTTTACCTTGTACACAGAGCAACACAATCTTCCGAGAATGTAAAGTGGTTCATTTTGATCGCCTCGGAATTGATTAAAATTCTCTGAACGCATATGACGGAAGAAAAAAAATCAGAATATATAAATGTGCATGTATTATGTCCGTCCGCTTTTATATTCAATATTAGGCCTAATTTCGTAATATGTAAACTGTATATACGCCTTGTTTGTTACGCACATGTTAATGGCATAACTCATGATCACAGAAATATTGTTATTTTGGGGTCTGTTAAACCTTGTGAAGCTTTGCTTCCGGTTACATGGATGAATTAAAGGCCTTAAAGTAAGATCTATTTGAGCACATAATCACTGAAAACCTTGAGTCGTGACATATAAACAATGTAAAAATGTGTCACTGAGTTATTTTGTTGAATAGTTGATTAATTATGAATTGTTAAATATTTATAAAGCGAAAGTTCCCCGTAATCCAAAAGACCGGCAGCTAGCCTTCAAGACCGAAAAACAAACAGATACAGTGTAAGCAATATTTTTTTTGGTTAACTTAGATGAAGGAAGAGCAGCCAAAGGAATAGATTCAGAAAATAAAGAGAAGAAAAAACTAACGTATACACACAAAGATAAAAAGAAAAGATACAAGAAAGACAGAAACAGAGGAATACATAATCAAAGATATAAAAGGATGATGGAAAGAGAAATACATAGAAATACATATCAGAATAAAGAGAGAAGAGGAAAAAGGAGAGATAAATTCAAAAAAGGAAAAGTGAAAATTCAGTTATTTCGGTCCCAAGAGCTACATAGTTGTAGATATCCCTCAAATAATTCAATTTTCTATATTTCGAAAGCTGCAGATTTTATAAAATGTCATTTAATAATAATGCTTTTGTTTCTGCCTTCACTTGCCGCTCGTTGTTACGAGACAAGGCCGCAAATAAGGGAGTGAAAGATTGATTTTAAATTACTCTATGTGTTAAATTAATTATGATCGATCTTATTCAATTAGTAACTGGGTTAACAATAGCCTTATTCCAGGCGTATTGTGGTTTTCCTCCTAAACATAATGTAAAAGCTGGTTCTGTATCCATTGTCTCTGTAATTATCTAGGCAAGGTATCAAATGAATGTGAAAACTCGATTAAATCTGAAAGAAGATTAAGGCCACCGATCTGCTTATGCAACTGAACTAGTTAATATCTTTTGTCAAGATATTACCCTACATTTGCCACACTCGACCCAGGCGAGGTAAATGGGTACCTGGTGGAATTATTCCTTGAAATGCACTGTGCGCTGATTACGGCTGCCGGAGCTAAATCTAGGGTAATCATTTCCAAAGCTCTTTGGAAGCATATAGAGACGTTTTATTATTATATAGTCACAACTAGCGTGACTATAATCATGACTAGAGAAAAACGCATGTTGGTTTATTGTTGGAAAAGCCAGTGAGTTGCAGAGAAAATGATCCTCGTGCTCGATGCACACGGATCGTCATTTCGATTGCGTTATTCTCTGCGCTAAACAGGTCTGGGAAGCCAATTATCCCAAACAGGGGGTGTTTCACAAAGATCCTAAGTCGAACTTAACTCTAAGTTGGACTTAAAAATTATGGAAAGCCATTTGTAGCCTTAAAATAATAAATATTCAAAAGCAAAAAATCAAGTATTTTAGACTTTTTATAAATTCACATCAAGAACATGAAATCTCCCTGATAATAGAAAATATGCATGATTTAAATCATCATTTTATGCCTTTTAAAATAACTTTACAACATATCTTCATAGATGCTAACGGCTTTCATAAGTGTTAAGTCCAACTTAGAGATAAATTCAACTTAGGATCTTTGTGAAACATCCCCCAGGAATTATTCAAAACATTGTTCTGATTGCCCTCGTGCTTTTGCGTGGTTTTTTGTTGTTGCGCGTTATCATTTGATAAATGACGCGTCAAGCACGTAACTGGTCGCTGGCTGGCGCAGTCTTACGTCAGGCGAATGACGCCTCATGTGCAGTGAGCATTACTCACGCATGCGCACTATCACTGATTGTAATGTTAAGTGGAAAAGACAATGACGTAGCATTCATTTGGTTTTTTCCGTTTGTTGCAAAAGTTGCACTGTGCATCACTGTACAATAAAATTCTGTTGTGTATTCTTGTCAGGTTTGTATATTGTGTTGATTTCATAAATACCATTGTAATACACACATATATAACATTAAACTTGACATTTGATTGAAGTTTGGTGGAAACTTGAATTGTCCGCCGTGAAGTATTCAAGAGTCGCTGCACAACAAGTGACGACCCTCTGCAAGTCCTTGGCATTGGTCTTGCCTAGATGGAGGAGTATGTAAACAAAAATTAATGTTAAAGCCATCATAATATTGTATGAGTCCCTGTTGTCACGATCTTCGTCCATTTCTCTTCCTTTCTCACTCCTTCTCCCCCCCCCCCCTCTCTCTCTCCCTCCCCTCCCTTCCTCTCTTTTTCCCCATCGTTTGATATTCCCTGTATCGTGTGTATGGTTATATTCGCCTCTGACTAAGTGTTCTAACTTTCATCTTATAAATATTAATTAATAAATGCCTGCGTAAAACAGTAAAAAAAAAATGGTACTATAAAAAACTTGTATATATTTCATTTATTTCATTCACCAGCCGCTTTTCAGTTATTTACTTGCATATTATAGGTCTTTATTTCTTATAATTCCAATGATGAAGGGGAGATGGCAAAGGAGTGTAGATAGATAAGTAAAAGATTGTGGAGAGAAAAGAAGGGGAAATTGCAGGAGAGAAGTAGGCAATGAGTGAGGAAATAGAAAGAAATTAAAAACAACAACAGAAAGTGAGGAGTGGGTGTGTGTATGAGCGTGTGTGAGAGAGAGAAAGAGAGAGAGAGAGAGAGAGAGAGAGAGAGAGAAAGAGGGGAGATTTCAAAGTCAAATATGTTACATTTTTCTTAATTTATATCTTCTTTTTTTTTAATTTAGGGCCTGTAGAGATAGTTTTCTAACAGCATGTGGCACTGGAACGAGTTTCGTCAGAGGGCCTATTAAAATACATGACTAATTTTCACTGCTTTCCTTATCTTCTCTTATTACTGCTTCTTTATGAACTTTTAACATTGGCAGGATAACATCTAGGAGCATGCAGGGAGCTGATGATCACCAGCGTTGGGATTTCACATAGAGCCATTATTTTGTGTTCTAATAACACCAAGCGGAAGATTCATATCTATGTCATATTGGATTAATAGTAATGAAGCCATCCTTGAACATTCATGATTTTGCCCTCCGCCGTTAACAAATATCGATTAAAGACATGATGGAGACGAGCGGGAAGGGAGAAGGGGATGTACTTAGAGAGAGAGGGACAGAGAGCTAGGGGAGAGAAAGAGGAGAAAGAGATAGGAAGGAGAGGGCGAAGGGGTGCGGACTGGAATGGTGTCTGAGGAAGAGAGGAAGTGAGGCAAGAGACTAGAGAGGGGAAAGAGACACAGACAGGGGAGAGAAAGAAAGAGAAGGAAGAGAATGAGAGAGAGAGAGAGAGAGAGAGAGAGAGAGAAAGAGAGAGACCTCGAGACGGGAATGGGGGGTAGGAGAAAGAGAGGTAAAAAAGAAAAAGATAGAAAAGGAAAGTGGTGAAATAAAGAAAGAGAGGAGGGGTGGGGGAGAGAGAAACAGAGAGGGAGTAGGAAGGGAGGGAGAGAGAGAGAGAGAGAGACCTCGAGACGGGAATGGGGTGTAGGAGAAAGAGAGGTAAATAAAGAAAAAGATAGAAAAGGAAAGTGTTGAAAGAAATAAAGAGAGAGAGAGAGGAGGGGTGGGGGAGAGAGAAACAGAGAGGGGAGATGGGGAGGGAGAGAGACCTCGAGACGGGAATGGGGTGTAGGAGAAAGAGAGGTAAATAAAGAAAAAGATAGAAAAGGAAAGTGTTGAAAGAAATAAAGAGAGAGAGAGAGAGGAGGGGTGGGGGAGAGAGAAACAGAGAGGGGGAGATGGGGAGGGAGAGAGACCTCGAGACGGGAATGGGGTGTAGGAGAAAGAGAGGTAAATAAAGAAAAAGATAGAAAGAGAAAGTGGGAGAAAATAATAAAGAGAGAGAGAGGTGGGATGGGGGAGAGAGAAACAGAGAGGGGGAGATAGGGAGGGAGGGAGGGAGAGCGAGAGCGAGGGGGGATGATGGAGGTAAGGAGACAGACAGACACCGAGATGGATGCGATTTGACTGGTCGATACTTCATCAGTAACTGTCAATTTGAAATAACTGGTGTGTGAAATACATATTCATGTTACTCATCGACACTTCCTTGAAATATAGGAACAATTATATTTATGTTGCATTGCATGTGTGCAGTTTGAAATGATTCCATGCAGATTTTGGAGGAGAGGTATAACAAGGATCGCAAAAGTCACTAGAGCTTTTACATTACCTGACATTACTCAAGCCCAACCCTCATCATTCAAACTGATCGCAAAGTAAAACAAAGCAAAGTAAAACACGTGGAAGAACATTCTAGAACAAAACTGGATGAGAATGACTGTAAAGAAGCAGACAGATGAAAATGTTTGCCTTATTTTGTAACATGTCCCTATCGGTAATGATATGATAGAATTATAAGAGACAATAAAAGATCAAGAAAAAACACAATCGCCCATTTGCCCCCTTGAATGAACGCGAGAATTTTGTTTTTCTTCACCAATTTAAAATCGTGATAAATGGAATCTTTGACGGCAATTATATTAAAGATAAAGTGAGAAGGAAATCGAAATCTTATCGCGCCAAGACCGTCATTTCTAACCGTCCCTTCTCTCGGCCCTTCTCCCTTTCTCTCT